GGGCTGGTGCTCAGGCGGCTCCTCGTCCTGCACAGCAAATGCGGCGCTCTGGGAATAAGGAGGAGAACAAGCGGATCCTGATGGACCTGGACGTGGTGCTCAAGAGCCACGACTGCCCCTACATCGTGCAGTGCTTTGGGACCTTCATCACCAACGTGAGTGGCCGCGCCTCGCCCCTCGTGGGCCCGGAGCGGGCCTGCCTGAGTGGCCGCCCCCTCCCGGGAAGGGGCCTCCGTGCGCGTGGCCCACGCCCCTCTGCCCCCACAGACAGATGTCTTCATTGCCATGGAGCTCATGGGCACGTGCGCCGAGAAGCTCAAGAAGCGCATGCAGGGCCCCATCCCTGAGCAGATCCTGGGCAAGATGACGGTGGCGGTGAGCCGGCGCGGGGCGGGCGGGGGCGGGGCTGGCCCTGCTCCGCCTCACACGCCCTGTCCGCGCAGATCGTGAAGGCGCTCTACTACCTGAAGGAGAAGCACGGCGTGATCCACCGCGACGTCAAGCCCTCCAACATCCTGCTGGACGAGCGGGGCCAGATCAAGCTCTGCGACTTCGGCATCAGCGGCCGCCTCGTGGACTCCAAGGCCAAGACCCGCAGCGCCGGCTGTGCCGCCTACATGGCGGTGAGTGAGGGCCCTGGCAGAGGCGTGGGTGGCACCCGCCTCGGCGTGGGTACATCCTCCCCTTCTCCCCCGCAGCCCGAGCGCATTGACCCCCCGGACCCCACCAAACCTGACTACGACATCCGGGCCGACGTGTGGAGCCTTGGCATCTCGCTGGTGAGTGGGCCCCTTCCACGGACGGGCGGCTCCTCGGTGGGCAGCCAGAGGGCGCCACCCCAACCGTGTGTCCCCAGGTGGAGCTGGCCACGGGGCAGTTTCCCTACAAGAACTGCAAGACAGACTTTGAGGTCCTCACCAAAGTTCTGCAGGAAGAGCCCCCGCTCCTGCCCGGCCACATGGACTTCTCAGGGGACTTCCAGTCCTTTGTCAAAGACTGGTGAGGAGCCCTGCGCTGCGGGCGTACCGCGCTCAGC